ATTGCAGTGTATCGGCGGGAAGTGACGTAATGCACGAAAAGTGCCATGTGGATGGAGGTTTTCACACCTCGACGGTGCAGATTTACTATTTACTCACACCTCAGACCCGACTTTGGCACTCGTTTTCTCTGTCTAAGCGACTCGCTGGGCCGCAAAGTGAAGAGTGTGCTGAGAATTTTGACTTAGGTCAAGGAATTTGGGTGAAGGATGATGATGATGTGAAATATGATAAAGGCTTCTTCTCTCCTCGGCAAAAAAAGGCACACGAACACCGGAGCGAGAGTCTCGGGGCCCGAATGGGCGGCTGAATGTGGGAGAGAGCTTTGAAGCTTGCGGATCGGGGGGTTGTGGATGAAGATGAAAACGGCAAAAAGGGAATGTTTTAGTAAAAGGAAATTGCCTTAAGGAGTTTTCACATAACTCTCCACTCTCTCTCTCTTTCTCTTTGCCCTGTATTTCGGTGTTCACAGCCAGAGTGTCCTAAAGTTCGTCTCATAGAGCCTTTTTTTGCCCCCAAACTGCCACTTCCACCACTTAAAAATCTATATTGAGTGACTGTAGGTTTGCTTTTTCATGGGATATCGGGGGCGTGTGTGTGTTTAAATCGTACCGCCAGCAAACGCCTTTCTTGTTCTCACGCAACTTTCCCACCCTTTTGTTCGATTAGGCGAAATGTAGCCACTAAAGCGTCAGTTGTATTTACATAGAAGACACAAAATTGAAGCTTCAAAAGAAACACAACCAAAGTAGAGATATGAAATGAGATGTGGAGGCTATGGCGCAATTGTATTCAATTTCGTCCACTAAAAGCTCTCTGTCTCACTATTAAGGGAAGTTGTTTCTTCGGGGGGTGGCGCTCTTTGGGAGGCAACAAAAACGTGAAGCCAATTTTTGCAGGAAAAAAAGCTCCAAACCTGACTTTCAGAGTGGAGAATATCAATTTCATAGGCAAATTGATTTATATTTCCCCTCGAAAATCGGCACTTTATCTGCCATTTCTCAGAGATTTACAAAAAGGGCGTGGCGATTTTGGACTCCTCCTCAAGAGAAGATCAACAGGTGAAGTGTTTATTGATTGTCAGTCACTCAAATACTTCACCTTCACTGTGTTCATCAGCTACATTGGAAAGTTTGCTGAATGGGCGGGGCACACGAATGGGCGGAGCTTTCATATACACACTAACAATTCGGAGCGTCACACAGAGTAGACGGGAAAAAAAACATGTTGAACTTTTCCAACTCTTTGCAAAATACATTCTTCATATTGTATATATGCAGAGTGAACCCTTGAAAAGGTCAAAAGCCATCTCACAAATTGAAATAAACCACTCTGAAGTGCCAGGTTGACTTCATTCCAGTCACTTTTGAGGGATGGGCATGAAAAATGTGCCCAAAGCTGACTAGAAATGTCTCTTCAGTCCGCAAAATAACTCGCAGCGACCCCAAATGCTAAACAACACAATGATTCTAACATCTTTTTTGGCTTACCTAACGGTGTGCAGATGTTTCATTAATTTTTGACAATTTACAGGGCGTGTTAATTGTGGCGTGATTGTGATTTAATTAGGTTTTATTCTTTTTTGAGGGGGAAGAATTGGTGGTTTTTGTGGTGCAGAAGGAAGTGTGTTGCGTTTCCGGATGACAAAACAAGCACAGGATGTGTGTGTATCTGGAGAAACAGGGTATTTGTCCTTATTAATTGATGATGTTTTAAATTGAGTATGACTCGCTTTTAGTTTAACAGCATATATAAAGATGATTTAATTGAGGGTAAAATTGAGTTTACTTCTGAGTTTATCACAAAATAATTTATTGCACTAGAGTCAGGTTTTGTATTAATCAATTCCGATGTTTCGCATGCATTCTCTCAAGCCAAGGATGCTCTCGAGATGAGGGTGTGGATTTGACGATGGACTTTCAAGCACTTTCAGTCCCTGTGACGGGAAAATCACAGATTTGGGGTTAATTTTCACTGAATCTGCGAGATGAGGGTGTGGACCACAGAACACCGCGAAGTGCAGCAGCTCTCAACACCAAGTCAATCACTCCACTCCTCAGCTTCTTGTGACCAAGACAGAGCTTCACGCCACGCGAGGGTGACTCCAGTGGACACGGGAAAGCACTGAGGCGGGATGGAGTTTCGCACTTGTCATCCCCCTCGGAAACTGTCACAATTCTCTTGGTGATTATGTAACACGGCTGAGAAAGCTCTCTTTCGCGCTCTCGCTCGCTCTCTCTCTCTCACTTCCGCCCCGTTCGGAAGCTCACTGGCTCTCGAGGAGAGAGAAAGAGTGTGTCGAAAGAAATTTCCCGGTCTATTCACATCTGCGGTGGGCAAAAAGCTCATGTACAATCCACGAGGTTCAAGGCATCGAGAGAGCATTTCCCCGAGTTTTGCTTACAAGATTTAGCCTAATCAGTATCTCAAGATTGATTTGGAAACTTTTTAGTTGTTATTTTTGCCATGGAGAAGATAATTCAATCAGAAATGGTGTACAGTTCTCCTGAGTCCTTTCTTTTCCCAACAAATCATCCTGATTCTTTGGAATTCTTTTGATTTTTTACGTAGAAACGGTCGTAATAATCCATTTCTAGGTTATGTAGCGAGATTTAGTCAATAACAAAGTCAAAGAAATTGCCAATCATTGGCAGAATTAAGCATTTTCATGCACTAAACTCTGTTATTCTGAATCTTTTAGGCCAAAAAACACAGTAAATTGTGTTAAGATCGAACATAACCTCAAAAACTGTTATTTAGATTTGGAAAATGTTTATTTCAAAAAACTTTCTGGACAATTTTGACCCTGAAAGAGCAATTTTGAGTTCAATAACAAATCCTAACAGATGATTTTGTGATCTTGAAAGCTTTAAACTGAGCTTGTAAAGATCTATTAGTGATACTTTGAGGTTATGGCCATAAAAATACCTAAAAAGCGGTCGTTTCTTATGAAAATTTAAGATTTGTGTGCAAAACAGTTTAAAAATTGCAAATGCTGGAAATTCTAAGACTTCTAAGGCAAATTCAATGTGTTATTTATTTCAGTCTATCCCTTATTTGATCCCTCCACGCCTTGCAACCTCGCACTCATGTACAATTCCCGCAAAATTGTCCTCTTTCGGCGACACTTTTTTCCTCTCCGGTTCGCCCCGGAGCACGATTGGAGTGGGTGATTCTGCGGAAGTGTCTGATGATGGTTTTATTACCGTGTCACGGAAATTACATGTCACCTTTTTCTCGCGCCACTAATGACACTCCTCGCAGCGGAGAGAAAATCTGGACGAACGGTCAGCACAGCTGATCAGCGCCGCGTGTGGCAAATTAGCGTCGATGGGCGTCGCGCTGGAGCACAAACTGCCAGAGGCGCAGCGGCCGCGGGACATCTGGACCGGCGGCCGTGGAGGCGCGGAAGTGTGTCATGTTTGCCGACGAGCGGGACGGCACGAGTGGGGCTTTTTCGCGGGAAAAGCCTGGGCGAGCGAGAGGGCAGGCGCCCCAGAGCGAGAGCAGCCGAGCCTCGGGTCGGATGTAGGTTACGAACTGGGGTGTCTAAGGGTGCGGCCGAGAACTGGCGTTATGTGTAGTTTTACAGTTTGTTTGCACCCCTCCCCGCCCGTCCGCCCCGCCGTCTCCCAAGGGTGGATGACTTGGGACTGAGCAAGCGACGTCGCCCATCCCAGGCCGTGGAATTGGTAGAAATGATGATGGAATTTCCATCAAATACACTTAATCCATTTAATCAGCATATCCAGCCGCACGAATTCGCCTCCTCCGAGGGATGCACGAGATGAGGAGCACGTGAAAATGAGCCACCCTCCCCCACACTTCGTCTTCGCTGCACTCCGTCTCGCAAGGAGGCCGTTTTTGCTGCGCTCCTGCAACATTCAATTCATTTTCCCAACTCGTTGATTTCCTCATAATTTCTCTCGTGTGAAATTTCGCCTCGCATCTGCTCAAAGGGAGGCAAATTGAGATGAGGGGGCGCCCAAGTAGCCAATTGGGAGACATTGGAATTTCTCTTCTTTTCCATTTACTGAGTGACACGATCCAAGGGGGAGATAATGTGCTCTAAATCTGTACACCAGTTCCTGACACTTCCGAGCGTCTTTAAAGGCATTTTCACATTCATTTTCAAGCGCATTTCTAACTTTCACAGTCTAATGTAGGTTTTTCTGCTTAGAAGGCTTCTAAGCAAATTGTGTTGTTATGAATCCGTCATAAATATATTTTTTCAACTAATTTTATTCCTTTCAACCCTAAAATGAGAAAGTATCACAAGGTTTCTACTAGAAAATGATATTTTTGAGGTTATGATTGACTTTTGAGCTCGTTTCTACTGCTTAAGATTGATTAATCTGATGTTTTTCAACACGAATGCTCAATTTTGCTAAGAAAGGAGAATTATTTCCCGCCTAACCACAAATTCGATGATTTTAAAGGTTATCTAATCACCATAATCTGTCTTAAATCAATCACATAATCTAGAAAAAGGAATAAATTGATTTTTCTGGGCAAAATAATTTAGAAAATGCCTCAAAATCACAATTTTCTATGCAATTCCCATAAATTATTCACTTTCAAAACCTCAAGTGCATATTTTGTATAAGGTTGCTTGGATTGATTTGCCCTCTTTTTGCTTATTTTACTCACCACTTTAGCACGGACGCATTGAATTCGTGACACAAACCTTGGCGATGTGAAATTTTCACCTTCACAGCAGAGACAATTTTGGCGCAGGTTCAGGATAATCCAGGAAGACTTTTGCACCTTTTGCAGCATCGCGACGAGCGCCAATCCGTCGGTGGATTGTTAGAATATCGACGCTGCAGTTTTGCCAATGATTCACAGTGGAAAAATTGCTCATCGCAAAGGCGAATGAATAATGCAAATTCACGATTTTCCGGCACACTTATCGCGCCACTTCTCAGTACGTTTTCCGCGCTCGGCGAAGTGGACAAAGCCAGGTGAGAACCGGAGAATGTTGCAAGTGAAAACAGGAAGCTTTGGTATGTTTTTTTGAAATTCATGATCAAAAAAATTTCTTATGTACATAAAATACGAGGAGTTTCCTTACAAAATACAGCTTTTTCAAAACTCATTGTGGGTGAAATCCTACACAGAAAAGAGAAAACTACCACATTAAATATATAAGATTAGAAGTGGAGGGGGAGAGCGACTTATTAGTTAATTTTTTTTTATCCTTAAACATATTTATGGACAAGGATTTGAGGAGTGCGAAACTGAATAGATCATCTCTAAATCATCTCAAATATCTCAGTCAAACGTGCATGGCGCGCGTGTCCTCGATTCCGTCAAAACTGCACTATATAATTTAATATTCAAGTCTTTCGAGTCTCAGGTGCATAAATTACTTCTCTGCCCATTTCTCTTTCGCACTTCTTCTTCTGCGCGCGCCTCTCGCCGAGCCAAACGCGAATTGCCAAACGGTTGGCCGGATTGGTTGGAGAAGATGCATAAATTGGACTTGCGAGTCGCTGGATTGCGTTTGAGGAGGAGAAAATGATGTGAAAAGAAAAATGTAGACTTTGTAGAGCACGAATTCATGGCACGATTCCGTTGAGCCTGGCTCGCCCTCGCTGGGAAGTTGACGCTGGGTGCGGCGCGGCGTCCTCGCGGTCTACGTGAAGAGCGGCAGGTGGTAGAAGTCGAAGCCGCGGTAGCCGCGCGCCGCCAGCCAGATGTACACCACGTGATAGGCGCCGGGAATGAAGCAGATGAAGCCGGCGACGAAGAACACGGCGCCCTGGGAGCCGTTCGAGGGCTTCGCCACGGCGTACGTGCCGATCACAACCAGCGCCGTGCCCACGATGAGCAGCGTCACGGCGGCCAGGACGGTGCGCCAGTTCTCGCGGACCTTCGGATGCCGCCAGCAGTATGTGTACGTGTCGCCGGCGGACAGCGCGCCGTAGTCCTGAATCAGCGAGTCGCTGTCGCGCGACGTGGTGTCGTCCGGGTACTTGAAGCTCCTGCAACACAAAACCCAGTCAGTCTGTCTGGCCAGCACAGCCCCCGGAAGCCCGCGGCTCACCTTTGGTCGTGCACACGGATCGACACGTCGTCCGTGGAGCGCGTTTTCGCCCTCATGGGCGTGCTTATCACCGTGCTGCCGTACACCCGGATCGCCTCGTCTGTCTCCTCCTCGAAGGCATCGTGGATGGAGAAGCGCTTCTCCTTGCCAGAGCCGCCGCGGCCGCCGAATTGAGGTGCCGTCGCGGAACTGCCACCAGCCATTGCGCGATTCACCTGCTGAGAAAATGGACACAATCGCACTTGTTGGGCTTCTCTCACTCAGCACAATCTACAGTCGCATCCCTTGCACTTCACCCCCACAATATTAACCCCTTGAGCGGTGGAATAATGCAATTTTCACGCCACAAAACACACAAATTGTGGCGTTCCAGAGTTTCCTTTTGTTTTACTTGCGAATGTCAAACTTCGGCAACATTCGGGCGAATGCAGAGCCACAGCGGAGAAGCCACAAAGCAGACTTTGCCTACGTTTCGGCGCAATTTGTGTTCAAGCGGGCAAATGAAGTTTGCATTCAGACAAATTGGTACGAAATTCCTCTTAACCCATTAAGAAACTCGATTGTTATGACTGAATAATGTCTGAAAAGTATTTTGTTACAGAAAATCCTGTCAATATTTTCATTTATCACTTTCCATCACAACATTAAGTCTTAATTTGTCTCCTCTTTGCACTGTTTTACTAGATAAATGCTTGAATTTGTAATGATTCATTGAAGAAAAAGAAGTGGAAAAACTGGGAAAACAAGTCATAAAGTTAAAATAATGCAAATTGTCTGTATTTCTTGAGTATATTTCTTGATATCTCAGAAAGCACAACTCACAAGATCGCAATGTAAAGTATAAACTCTGCTGCGATAGCTTTAAACTGGAAAATCCCGAGTTTATTTTGTATTTGAAGATTATTAATTGAATTGTATTCACACGAACACGTGCTTCGCGCCAATTAACGATCATATTTACTTCATTGAAGAATCGAAGCTTACTTTGATTGCGAAGAAGTGGAAGTTGGAGAACGTGTGCCACAATATTTATGCGATTTATGCACTTAATCAGCCTGGCGATTAGCATATAATTAGTGGGAAACCTTCGTAATTTGTCTGATTCACAAAATACTCTCCTGAATGGATAACTCGTTATGATTCTCTCGCGGCCACTCAATCAGTATGATAATTTAACAGCTTCTTGGTCGTTAGATTGCATCTCAACGATCTCAACATTGCGAGAATCATTGTGATTTTTCCACACCTGCAAATGAGAGACTTCTGGTTTTTCTCACGACGCTTTTTCTCCACTCGCGTTCCAGCGCGTGCGAGAGAAAATCTGCCCAGAAGATCAGTCATCGCCCGGGATTTGCTCGAGACGGACAATCTTCCTCGCGATCGATGGGAGGAAAGTTGCGCATCGAGAATGTCAAGTGCCCGCTGATATGCTGCAGGAGAGTGTCTTCTTCCCGGAGGACGATCCTGGCCCAAATGCCACGATCGCCCTCGAAAGTGCGCCGCAATTCTCCAGCTCGTCGCTCGTGAAGTTCCTGGTGCTGAGCGCGATGGGCGTCGTGGCGATCGTGGGCAATCTGGCCACGATCTGGAGCATCCGCAAGAGCAGGGCGCTCCGTCGCGCCGCTCTGCACAACTGCACCTCCATCTACCACCTCATCACGCACCTGTCCATCGCGGACCTCCTCGTGAGCTGCTTCTGCATCGTCGGCGAGGCCGCGTGGAGTTACACGGTTCAGTGGCGCTCCACGGACTTCATGTGTCGCTCCGTGAAGTACTTCCAGATGTTCAGCCTCTACCTCTCCACCTACGTCCTCCTGCTGATCGGCATCGACCGCTGGATGGCCGTGAAGCATCCCATGAAGTCCTTCCACTTGGACATTCGCTGGAGAATCGTCTCCGTTTACATCATTTCGCTCATCTTCAGTCTGCCTCAGGTGAGATTTTGCCTCCGTGGAGAGAAACCAAGGGGGAGATAATGTGTCTTAAATCTTAAAATCGCTTATTTTGGGTAAATTTTCTGGTCGTAACCTCAAAAATATCACTTTCTAGATCACAAAAGATCTCTTATGATGCGTGGATGAATTTAAAATTGCTGATTCATACTCAAGAACGTCTGGAAAATTTTCTAAAGAAACATTTTCCAAGTCTTAATCAATATTTTTGAGGTTATGTTCAATCTTAACACAATTTGCAATGCTTCTTGAGGCCGAAAACTCCAGGAAAGCAATATTTATTACATGAGAAAACTTTAATTTGCCATTAATATGCAATCTTTTCAACTGTTTATTCACTAAATCTGTTCTTGATTCATTACATAACCTAGAAAAGTATTATCAGAATTGTGTCAATCTTGATTTCAACGTAAAAATCAAAAGAAATCCAAGAAATTGGCATAGTTTTGCAATGGAAGAAGCACACAAGAAAGGAAGATTGTAAGTTTTTGAACTGTACACTACTTCTGACTGTATTATCTCCCCCTTGACAGAGACTTTGAGAGTTTCAGCGGGTTTTCATGAATCCTCGCAACTCGCAGTTTTTCATTTTCAGCGTCCAAAGAGGTCCTTTCGTGGAGGACTTCCACCAGTGCGTGACTCACGGCGCCTACGATGCCTTCTGGCAGGAGCAACTCTACACGACACTCACGCTCGTGCTGATGTTCGTGATTCCGCTGGTCATCCTCGTGGGCACGTATCTGGCCAGCTTCCGCGAGATCTCGCAGAACGAGCAGCTCTTCACCAGCGCGCCCAACACCGTCCTCAATGCTAGTCTCTACAAGCGACAGAAGATGCTGCATCGCGCCAAGATGAAGTCCTTCCGCATGAGCGTCATCATCATCCTGGCCTTCCTCATCTGCTGGACGCCCTACTACGCCATGATGCTCATCTTCATCTTCCTCAATCCAGACGAAAAGGTAACAAGAAAGTCACTCTTCTCCTCTCCTCAAATACTCACGCATTTCGCGCGCACTTTCGCAGCTGGAGGAAGATCTTCAGTCTGCGATATTCTTCTTCGGGATGTCAAACAGTCTCGTGAATCCGCTCATCTACGGATTCTTCCACGTCTTGCCGCGCCGAAGACGCCTGAGAAGGAGCATTCCTCCGTCAGAACCCACGATTCTGCGCGACGGCGACAGGAATAGCCAGAGAAAATTCTCCTTAAGTTCTCTGTTCAAGTTTCAAAGTTAATTGGCGCACAAGTTTCAAAGCCACAGGAAGTGAATCAGAGCAAGAAGTGGACGTTAAGTGCAATAAAAGACGCTGGTTTATTAGTGTAAAAAAGAAATGTGAGAACAAGTGAACAATTCGAGCATTTTTAGACATAAAGACCTTCATTTTTCAGACCAATTATTATCATTTCTACCGCTTAGAATAAACTTAAGAGTCGATAGAATGGCGTTTTCATTGATTTTCATTTGTAAAACTGAAGCGCAATTAGTTCTTAAAGTCATAATTAAGTTCTGCAAAAACTACTTGTGATCACTATATTTTACTACATTATATAGAAGAAGGAGTGTCGAAAAAAGTATTTTATTGTGAAAAATTTTCCATAAAATTCACTCACCTGAATTATTCGTCGCACCTGTTTCACTGTGAAAGTCGTTAGGAGTCGAATATCTGTGATATTTTTAGCATTATTAGCTATCGTGTGCGCTTAGTTAGTCAACAAAGTGATAAACGCAATTATTACATTTCTTTTAATAATTCCCTCCGGAGAACAATGATAGTGAAAAAGGCCTTTCTCGCCTTGTGATTCAGCTCTAAAGTGTCTCGTGGGAATTATTATACACCGCGATGATCGGGAATTGAAGTAATTGCTTTGGTTTTACTTGTTTATTTCACTACGACTTGAATAAAATGATAATTGTGCTAAGAAAAATAGAGCACAAGTCTTTACTTTGGTCAAAGGGGAAAATCAGTCGTGATTTCTGAACAGTTTTGCGGATAATCAATCAATTCTTGATTATTTTCTCCGCAAATTAAGTCGCGATATTTTTTAGCGTCCTCCACGCCAACTTTGCTGCCCTCTGACGGCAATATGTGGGCAAAATAATCAAATATTTAAATTTAATTGAATTATTCAGGAAATATTTAAATATAATTTCATTTTTAATTATAATTCATGGAAAATAATCATTTTTAGATTATTTTTATTAAAATTTTGTTTTTTTTTTAATTCAACCTCAGAAATCTAGGCTAGTGATTTTCCCCTTGACAACTCGAGACACATTTGCTTGAGAGAATTCTGGGGATTAAGCTCGACTGGATAAAATGGGACTTTGAAATAACAACGATTGTTGAAAATTATTTTATAACTTTTTATTAATTCATGAAAAATTATCTAATGCTTTATGGGTTTTCTGGTTTGTCTTAAAACAAATTCAATGCATGTTTTTTTTAATGTCTCACTTAAATTATATATGATAATGTGAACAAAAGTTGCTCCATAAATGCATATTTTGCAATTCTCGAACATGATAAATATCGATTTTGAAATTATAAAGTGTTCCAGAATTGATTGACATAGCCTAATTAAACACAAAGTAGTTAACTTTACAATCTAAGTTTTCTTTCTTCTTTCAATCTTTGAGTGTTTATTCTTCTCCCTCAATTTAGCGTTTTCATTCATAAAGTTCAAGTATTGATCGCAATGATTGGTTTTCTTATGAGTTTTCATGTGTGTTTTTTTTCTTCTTCTCTCTTGTGTCGCAGATGATAAAATTTATTACTTTCAAGTGTGAACTTAGAAGCTAATATGGTTCTTCTTGTGAAAACTGTTTCGCTTTCCATCGCAAATGGTTACTGGATTAATTACGATATAATGCTTTTATTGACATGTTAAATCATTAAATAAATTTTAAGGAGTAACTTAATCACTTTTGTACACAGACATTTCATCATCTTTCGGTGTACATTCGGAACTTGGAGTTGTAAAAGGTTTTGTTTTCTTTTCTGGCGCTTTCTTGACTTACTATCAATCTTACTTGTCTCATTATGACGTCAGAGTTCTTCTCTATATAAATACTTCATGCTATATTCGTCAATATGTTGTAATTAAATATAAGAAATGTAGTGTTTCGTGTCCTCATCTTGTCTTGTTCATTTTTTTTTCATTTATTAAATTGGCAGAAGCTACAGGGTTTTTTTCTCCTCATTATTTCCACTTTATGCTATCATTCTCAAAACGTTTACTTATTCATTTAACTGCTCATCCTCCATGTTAAATACTATTTTACACGATTTCCTCTACTCTTTTTTTTTGTTTTCTCTTAGTCATATACATAGCTATTAAGTTTAAACTTCCTCTCTTTATAACAAATTCACTTCGATATCTCTTAGTTTTTCTTCCTCACACACAAATTCCAATCATTCACACATTAACAAATATAGAAAATAAAATACTTATACGATGAAATATGCAAAATAAGCACTTAGTTGTAGAGAATATTAATTTTTTTCATAAAATGCTTTTTACACAGCAATATTCGCGCCATCGTCAAATATTTTGATGGGGCGTCACTTAAAAAGTCTTATTTTAAGTGGGTTTTCTCTATGAATGTCATGAAAGAAATAAGAGAGTGTTGATGTAATGTTTTGTGTGTGTGTGTGTGTTTTTAATTACAGAGAAAAAGAGAAGATTATCTCTCATATTGTTGATTTCATTTCCATACACAGAATTAATGATTAGTTTTATACTTTCTTTTCTTCCTCTTACAATCCTTCGCATGATTTGTCAGATTTTCCACATCATTCCTTTCTCTTTTCTCTTAATCTAAGTTGATTGTTTTCTGCGTTTACATATTGAAGAAAGTTACAAGTTTTGGGAGATTTATCAATCGAAACAAATATTATTTTCAACAAACGCCACATTGAATTGGTTTGTAAAGGGGAAAATATATAGAAAATTTGAGTGAAACAGAAGATTTTACAAAATGTGCGTTCAACTATTTTCCTAATAATTATAGATTCAACTATGAAACTGAGAAAAAAAAACTCCGAATATTTTATCACAGTGTCCACTGGTTGTCAAAACTCCAAAAATTCAGATTGTGACTCGTTTTTTTTTCTCTCACATAAAACTAGTAAGATTGACAAATCGCCCAGGGTTCATTTCACAATTACTTAAAAGTCTTCTTTAAAGTCTAAGTTTGAGAAACAAATATAGAAAGTATTTCTTTTACTTGTATTTTATCGCTCTTTCGTTCATTTTTTTTCCTTTTATCTTGAGAACTGAAAAAACACTTTAAGTTTCTTTATTATTGCTTATGTCTACAAAGTTACCTTCGTCCATCATTTTATCATTTCTGTCAAAGCCCTTAATGTACAGATACTCTTATTTTAAGATTTAATCTTACAGAACAAATTTAACTTATCGGATATTTTTTCTCCTCTTTTATATGCATGTTTAGTTTATAGTTTATATTCTTCTTTATTACAGTAGAAACTGAACGAAAATTTCTCTTTTAAGGTATTTACATTGAAAATTGGTGGCAATAATTGTCATATGAATAGATTCTTTATTATAAATGTTATAGTTTTTCTTCGTTTTGTAGTGTTTTTCTTTCTTCATCTTCTTTCAAAATATTTCCCAAATAAATTCACGAAAAAATTGATATATTGATTAAAAGGAGAATAGAAATAATAATAATAATAAGAAAAATATGAGAAGCTCGGTTAGTTATCAAAAATTGTCCATAAAAATAAGAAAAGTTTCAGAAAGAAAATTTACACTGTAAAAAAGCTATTCTACTTTTTCACGCTTTTTAATTATTTATCGATAACTAATGTTTTAAATTCGAGTTTAAATTTTTCTCAAAAAGATTTCTCTTACCCCTTTTTCTTCATTACATTTCTCCTCTTTTTTTCATTTTTATACATCGAAATCATTTTCTCTGTTTTCACCATTTTTTTTCTCCGTCTATTGAACAAATTAAAAATATTGCTTTTCTCCATCTCGAGTGTAATAAAAATATATTTTTCTCACATTCAATCCATTTTTTTTTGTTTAAATTATTTCTGTTTTTCTCCTTTCTTTTATCAATTGTTTATCGCGTTGTCAATTTTATAATTTCCTTTCTCTTCTCATCATTCATTCACACTTAGTTTCTAGTTGATCTCACAATTTTTTTTTTGTCTCAACCGAATTGATAAATTTTCTAACTTAAAAAATATGCTTTTCACAACATCCTCAACTACTTTTACGCCGAATTCTATCCAATTAACTGCTCGCAGTGCCGCGCAGACGTTGATACTTTGGGCTCTGGAGATGATTTCAATGCTCGCCCAAAATCTGCCTATGCTTCTAAATCTGTGATCCACTCTTACGATCTATCAGTTCTGTTTCGCGGGAGAAAATGTTTAAGCACTCGTGACACCTGAAAATGGAAAGCAAATTCGTTGAAGGCGCACGAAAGTATCAAGTGAACCAAGTCTTGAACTGCTCAAAACTAGAATCAACAGAACCTCATCGATTTTTAACTTGTTGAGCACAATTTTAAAAGTTTCGTGAGTCTTGAGTCAAAATCAGTCTTCGGAATTTTTCAGTAAAGGAAATGCAGGCAAAAACGTCATTTTGTTGTTTTGATTTGGGTCGAGTTGAGATGTTGGAGGTAGAAAATGTTAAAAATGCTGCACAAACTATACATTCACACCAAAGAATCGTCATGGGGTGTCTGTCCGCGCCTTAAGAGGGCCAAAAATTAACCCTCCAACAACAATTATGTGAATAATGTGCATTATTATCGCACAGATGTTCTCTTGCGGTTCTACAAGAAGTCTCCGGAGCAGAATGAGAATTCTGCGAGCGATCTTAAGGTGCCACACGAGATGCTGATGAATTTCGGCTATCCGCTCTTCGCGAAAAATTTCTCCATCGAGGCTTTTTGTCCAGCCAATTGTTCATCTTATGATTACACTTGGATTTGTTCTATCTGTTCACATGTTCAGTGCATTGATTCATGAGACTAAGCACTAAGCAAAGAACGAATAATTTGAAGCCTTTGTCGAACGTCACATGAAAAGAAATCATTTCACATCAAAAGCGTTCAAATGAAAGGCAAAACAACAATTCGCGGGAATGTAGAAATTGATTTGACATCATCAAACACTATTATGGTTCTCTTTTTCTGAAGAAAAATAGTTAAAATGCTATAAATGGGTGGCCAAAGTGACGAATAGTAACATTTTCTAAAATATAATCATTATTTTCTATACGAATATTCGCTCAATTTTTACATTTTCCATCTCTGAGCCTCTTACGCGGGGGGAAGAAAAGAAATGCTCATATCTCAGCTATGAATATAATATTAAAAACAATTAAAGTAATTACTCGATGAGTTGATTGATTTTGAGCCTATTTTGATTCACAAATTTCTCAAAATCAGTCAATTTCCACTGATTCTGACTTTCACGAATTTTAAGACTCAGAATGCCAGAGATAAGTCATTTTACCTCAGTATCAGACGGTGGGTGTTCTGTGGAAAACATCGTTGGGATGCTGATTGCTGTAGTTTTGGCGCGATGAGCATTGCTGTGCGGACGAAAAGACAGGGAAAATTTAATTAAGAGTGCATCAATACGGAGTGTGTGTGTAATTTATTTGCTGAGAAAGGCAGCAAAACGAGAGTCTTACCGCTTGTTTCTTCTCCCAAGATTTCATTGCTGATTTATATTTTTCGAATTCGTGACACCAGTCTGAATAAATCTTCTGGTAGTCATTACTCTTGTTGGGCGGAGTACACCTAAAAATAGTCGCAGAGACACACAGAGAGAGTGAATTAAAATGCAATTGTGGATGGGAAAAATGCCCACCCACGGCCAGGGAGGGAATTATACATCTCTCGAGAGAGTGAGATTTTAACTCCTGAGCATAGAGAATAATACAGTTTAGCGCTGTTTATTATGTTAAGTAAGTTGAAGGGTATTTTCCGCTCTTGCAATTCTCACAAAATATCTTGTGCGCCGGCACTCGACAGTCGGGCAAATTGAAATTGCACACCTTGAGCCAGAGGTGAGGGATTAATGTTGGGAAAAAAGCGTGCTGTATTTTACTAAATTACTTGAGGTGCTCTCGCTTCTCTCCATTGTCCGGCATTGTCTGATTGTCTGCAAGTGCATCACTTGTTTCATTTCGCATCCCTTCGAAGAAGTGGCGAGCCTTTTAAGGGAATTGCGAACGCCCGTTGATTGCAATTGATGAATGGGCAAAAAGGCTCCATAAATTAAGTGGTTGTCGAGGAAGATTGGCACAGAGATGCGCGCTGTTCTTCGGACCGATAGTGCAATTTTGACCAAAATAGAATCATGTGGAATGCAATTGTTGTGCGAGAGAGAGAGAGAGACAGAAAGGATTTAATTCACATACTTTGCCATTCGCAAGAATTGGATTGTTTCAATGCAATTTTCCCGTGGAATATTCTAAATGTGTATCGGAATCCCCACTTGAGACTCTCTCTCTCTCCTTCAATGAACAACAGCATACTTAAGCTCTTGAATGGATCTCTAAAATATTCAACCTATTCAATGGGAAGAGATACACACTTTATTACTCTTCTTTTGCCACTGTGAAATAGCGAAATTATATTTCAAATTATATTTCAAGTGCCGACGTCAACTTATGAACATTTGCTATTTGTATAATTATAGTTTACGGGGAAAATCACAGTCGAATTTTCAAGTAAAATTGCTAAACGATCAAAATTTGTATTTGCGAGCAAAATATTTAAATAAATCAAATTACATTTCAATATATACTGAATACTTAATTAAAATTTAAATATTTGATGATTTTCTTCACATATTACCGCCAGAGGGCAGCAAATTTGGCGTGGAGGACGCTAATAATATCGCAATATTAATTTTATGATTTCCTGGCGTGATTCTGGCCAGGAGAAGATGAAATTTGAGCGCTAAAGTGAAGCTTTTCAAGTCCAGCTTTTGGCAAATTTTGTGCCTTTTTCTCTTTTTTGACGTTTTCTTATACCACAATTTTGGCACTTGGGTTAATTTGGAGGGTTTAAACGCCCCTAAATAATATATAAACAATTATAATTCTGATAAAATGAAATTTGCAAAGCAGATAAAATTTAATTATTTGCAATATATGTCTTAAATAATACTAAAATAAGAGACAAAATACAATCAAAACTCCAACATGACTTTAAAGCTTAAAATGCTACTCTTTGGTGGAAATTTGTGAAGAAAATAATCAAAAAAAACAAACAATTATTTAAATATTCTTTGGCATTAATCAAGAAATTACTGAATTTTTTTTTATGGAATAATCAAAATTTTAATATAAATTATGAAATTTTCTCTCTGAACGACACCGAATTGCAGCTTCCACGCCCTCAAATTCACTGTCATTTATTTTTGCATGATTAAAAAGACTGCAATGAAAATTGCGATTTGCTGCCGGCAGGAATTCATTGCCCAAAAGCCACATAAGCACGATTTTAGATAACTTTTTTTTTTCCCACCAAAACGGCACCCAAAAATTGCCGCATGAGTCGCGCGAAATTTCCCCATCGCTCTCAGGCATTGAGTGGCGGAAAGAGGTGGAAAAATGATTGGGAAATTTTTGCAAGGGGGAAACAATAGAGTGATTATTGAATCACTCACAGGTGGATGGATTGCAAAATGTGAGCCCAGAAGGGATGTTCTTTTTGCATATCCGCCAGATTAAGCACGGATTCTGTTTGTTCAGACGGCCACTCACCTGTGCGCGTCCACGGTGATGTTGTAGCTGCAGAGCAGAGAGCCTCCCAGGTGGCAATCGTATCTGCCGCCGTCGGCCTCGTTCACCGAAATCACCACCAGGCCGCGCTCCGTCGTCTCGATGTACTTCGTGGGGCTGTACTTAATCTCATAGCTTTTCGGGGGTGGAGAAAGAGAGAGAAAAGTGTGTGTGTTTCTTCATGCTCGAAAGTGTGCTGCCAAATGTAGCTCAACTCACCGTCCCTTCTCCTTCGAATGGTGATACCATGTGACTTGTTGATTCTTCAGGACTTCGGGAATCTTGACAAAACACCCCAAGTGAACACTCTGGCCATAAGTCACCACAATTTTCTTCTTCAGCACACTCGTGTCACAGATGTCGTAGGTCTCATTGCCCACGTCCTGTGGAAACGTTAAAAAAAATAGTCTAAAATCATCTGGAAATCATTGCTTCAATTGCTGCTCGGCAATTGATACCGGGAAAGCTGTAGAATCACAGCTAAATCTTTAAAATATATGCAAAAACTTGCAGATGTCAATACAAGGGGAGGATTACACGCCTAATATCTGTACACCACTTCCTAAACACTGTCAAAAATGACTGACAATTCCAGTACTAGAAATTTTTAGACTATTTTCACACTTTAATCAAGTTTCTATTCGATATTTCTATAAGAAACCACTTAAAAATTCTTTTTAGCGTGTCTTTTCCGACCATAACCTCAAAAATATCAATAGGAAATCTTCAAAAGGCTCAAAATCATTTGTAAAGATTTGTTATTGAAATCAAAATTGCTGATTTAAAGTCAAAATCGTCCAGAAAGTTGTCTTAATAATTATTTCCCAAGTCCAAATTACTATTTTTGAGGTTATGTTGGATCTTAATCAAGATCTTAACACAATATGCAGCATTTCCTGGCATCAAAAGTTCAGAATAGCAATGTTTATTGCATGAAAATTCTTCATTCTGCGAAATACTGGCGAGAATTGGTGTTAGAATGTGAATTATTCACTAAATCTTTTCTTAATTCGCTACATAACCTAGAAAATGATGATTTTGATTGATTTTGGGTTAAAATCAAAAGAAATCCAAAGAATTAGGATAATTTGGCGGGAAAAGCACTCAGAGAAGGAACACTTTCTCTTCTTAAGTACTTCCGCTTGCTCAATATGATCACTGATTCTTTCTCACCTGAAGTAGTCCCAATTCGTAGGGTTTGCAGCTTCCTGTGTCCTTGTCCCAGCCGCAATAGGGATCCTTCACGCATCTGAAGCAGTTGTCGTAGCGTCTGTTGCACATCGCCAGATCGATCTGCTTGATTCTCTGGTCCGTCGCCACGTAGAGTGACTTGCTGGACTGGCTGATCTCCATCACCTGAATGGCCTCGTTCTGGGCAATCTCGAAGATGTCCAGCAACTTGGACTTGGACTCCTGATTCCTGTAGTACTGCACAATCTTGTAAATGCGCCCATTGTTGGTGCCAATGTAGTACACAGTGTACTCCTGATTCAGGATCTCCACTTTAATTCTGGTGGAAAAGTAAGAGGACGCGCTGTAATTTATTTGATCTGGCCGTATTTTCCCATTAGACTGTGCACACGATGGCAGGGAAAACAAAGCGCACACGAGGAGTATCTCGGGCGCAGATATGGAAAATGCATTTCTGCGGAGACATGGAAGAAAGTGGGGCAAAAAAAATTCGTGCGGCACAGATGAACAATGGGAAAATAGTGAATAAAATCCTTTCTCGCGAAAAAATGCAATCGCTGCAAAGTGGTGGTGGTCGCAGGACTTATTATTCTAGCGAGAGCCACTCATAGATATTCCACCGCTGCACTTCTCATTACTCTCCCGGCAATGCCAGAGTGCGCCCCCAGAACCACCCCCAAAAGTGCTGCGAACGGGCGCCACGGCAAAATGAGCGAGAGGGTAGATAATTTTTTTCCACAATTCCACCACTCTTGAGCCCCACTTTAACCCCTTTTCATGCCTAAGCTTGTACACAGGGGCTGTCGAGGATCGTGAAGAGGATGAACTTGGCAGAAAATTTTATTTCATCTCCGCCAGGGATTTGCTGGGAAGTTCATTTGTTTGATTTTCTTTGATGATGAAGAAAATGGGGCTGTTGACAGATTTCCTTCCACACAGTGAGAGAGAGAGACTTTGTTGTTAAATGCAAAGAGGGGATTTTAATTTAATTAACTGACATAATTTGAAAAAACTCTCACAGTGACATGCGAGCCTTTTTCATTCATAATCTCTGCGGTGCTCTAATCGTTGACAGGAAGCTGTACAACAGCAGCATACATACTTGAGCACATACAGTATGCATAAATGGGAGCATTCGTAATTTATTTAACAAGTAGACATTAGTTTTCATTGTCCTCTGGTGATGTGGAGGGAAAAAATATGCGCATATTCAGTGAATTCGTAAGAATTATAGTGGAAATTTTGCTTCGAATGCCGCATCTTTATAATTATCAAGGGGAAGATATTATAACTAAAAACTGTACATCACTTCCTGACACTTCTTAAACTCTTCTGGAATCTAAAAACAGTCCTGATCGTCTTACCAGAATCGTGAATAAGAAATTTTGAAAGTTTTCAATTGATATTTTTGAGAAAACCTGATTTTAATCACTATTATGGAATTTTTTCCAAGCATAACCTGAAAATTACTCAAAATTATTTGAAATTCTATATTTTCAACAGTTGCAGTTAACGATTTTAACTCCAAATGTGGTGAGAAGATCCTTAAAATCGATATTATTCTAAACTGAACCACATTTTGAGGTTATGTTTTAATTTTTGTATAATTTGGACTTTTTTATGAGCCAAGAATCAAAATTGCGATTTTTATTGTATGAAAATGCTTAATTCTGCCAATAAATAAGATCGTTTCCGTTTTTTTTGGTGAGAATTAATTGTTTTGACGGTTATTTTCATTTATTAATTGCAAGTTTACTTCTCAAGTATTTCCAATTTTAAGGTGTGAATCACTTTAAAAATTTGCTAAACCTGATCTAAAAACCATATTCTCAATCAATCAGAGATGTTTAGAGAATTCCTTTGAGCTGTTAAATCTGTGCTGTGATTTCCATTGCGAAAACCTCGGCGGAATAACCATTATGAGGGCTTTTGTGAAGGGGTGAAATTCACTCTGGCAGCCTCGCAATTGATTATCCTTCAATATTCCACTTAAGCAAAATTACTCACTTGTCCACAACGAGTTTCGTGAACACCAAGTCCCTCTTGTAGAACACAGGATTATTGTGTTCGTGGCTGACGGCTTTGTCCATCAGTGGATGCGAGCGGATAAAGTTGAGTACATTGTCCGGAAGGGTTGACGTGTCATTGACACATGTTCCGGGCCGTGGTTCGGGAATTTTGGAATTGAGCACTGGCAGCCAAGCTGAGTTGGACGTGGCTTGTTCCTTGAATTTTCCTGGCGCGCAGAAAGAAAGAAAGGGAAGAAAAGGAAGAAATGTGTTAGGGCGGGAGTTTTGGCACAAGAAAAGCGAGCGAGCGAGTTTATTGGCAATTCAGCATCAAATGGAATGGTCAGAGACAATCACATGGATTCCCTCTTGCCATTCCCGGGACAAAATGCACTGGATATATCGTAAAAATTTGTGTTATGACGGTCACTTTCGCTCTTTTATTCACATCCACGCCGAGTTATTTGCAAATTTGTCCTCTATTCTGGTCTTATTCAATTGCTCAATATCCCAACTTGTCGCTCGTGAGCAATTGGGGGACAATTTCACACAAAATTAAATTTCCCCAGCTATATAACTTCTCCACGAAGTGAAGTCAAATAAAATATTTAAATTGTCTGTGAATGACACGTGAATGCTGAATTTGGTGTGACACTGAACGGCTTCCAGGAACTCAATTCGAATCCGTAATTAGTGCAAAGTGATAAATTTAATTTAATCAATTTATCTTCCATCAATTGTTGCACGGATATTTTGAGATTTCTCGTCAAAGTTTACAGCAAATTATTTGGAAAATCTCTTGAGGAACAAACAATTGAATATGTTTAGCTTTTTCGTGACCTCAAATTGCTTCAAATCAAGCATTGCCAATTGGTTTTATCCAAATCAGGGTTGATTTTCTTGAAATGTACAAACTGATTCTGGCAAAAATGTCAATAAATATTAACAAATTTTGTTCTCACAGCATTAAATAGTAAAAAAGGCGTATTTAAGTGTTTAAAGCGACTTCTTTCCACAGCATATTGGCCTTTTATTTAGCTGTGATTTGCATTACAGCTAATATTTGTAGAGAAATATAGCGAAAAATGCCCTTAAGAGTTCGTTCTGAGATTCTTTTATTGCGTTTTTCCACTATTTAGAGTGGTTTTAAGGCCACAAAGTTATTTTTCCTTTCTTTTATAAAGCAAATTGAACTCAAATGTAATCTAAAAATCCATCCGCGAACAATTATGGGTCACAGAAACATCAAAGAGTGCTAAAAATCGTCAAGAAAAGCCATAATTGTCATAATATTGCCTTCAATATCTTAAGTTTTTCATGAAAACACACCAAATATCTCTTATTAGTGATAAAAATACGTAAAAAGCGAATATTATTGACTTTCTTCTGTTTATTCGCGGCCTTTTGCGGTTATTTCAAGTGTTGGCTTTGAATTTGAAAGAGATTCTACAACTTGTTCCACACTTTTTCTCCCTTAGAGTCAGGAATTGAACAATTTTCGAGAAGAAATCTCTCTCAGAAATGGCAATTTCAAGAATACCAGCCCAGATTGGCTCTGTTTAGAGAGCAAACTGAAGCGTTGCAAGTGGCGAATGGATGTGAATAAAGCACTCATGTATTCAGTGTGAAGGTGTTGAGGTGGTTTCATCGCTTTTGGGCATTATCTAAGATTTAGTTAGGCAGTGGTTTGAGCAGTAAGTTCCGCTTGGCGTGGCTCCTTCATGAGGCGAGAGAGCGCAAATAACCACCGTGAGCTGATGCGAGTGCACAAATACCTGCGAAAGCTGCGTGAATCTCATTAATGTCGTAGCTGCAGACGGCAGAGCCCACGAGTCCATTAGTGCTGGTGGTGAACGTGGCGTAGAATTTGGTCTTGTCGTTTGGCAGCTGATAGACAGATTGGATTTCGTTGAAGTAGAAGGGAAACTCGCCCGAGATGCTGCAGTTGATTCTGGCTTTAAGGTATGTCGCCCAATTTTGGCTCAAGATGTTCTTGCCGCCCGTGTCCTTCTTGCAGACGCGCGCTATGCGCGAGTACACGGCCTTGCCGCAATTGATGTACTCCACGGCGGTCTCGCGGAAGAAGAAGTACACATACTCGCCACCGTCAAAGGATCCGACAAAGTTTGGCTCTGCGAAATGGAGAAACATTAGCGAATTTTCAAAGATAGAAATTTAATACACACAGAGAAGACACTCTTCTTCTTCCGCACTGTTTCTGGAGTTGAACCATATCGTGAAGCCCAGAGAGAACTTCCGCCTTATCGAATTGCGAGTCCGCAAGGGTGAGAGCAAGGGTGAGAGTGTGAGAGAGAGAGCGACACACACAAATGGAAAACTTTCAGTGAGACGTGATATCAGTTAGTGATTCTCACAGAGTCTTCCCAATTTCTTCTGCCTCGCACTCAAATCACAAACTCTCTAAGAAGAAAACTTTGTTTATTTTTTTATTTGCTCTTCTTTTAAAAATTTTCTTTTCCTATTATCTGTGCGAAGCAATACAGGCATAAGAGAGTGGAATCTTTTTAAACTCCCATCCAACCCCCCGAGCCGGAGTTTGGAGGGTGGAAGAAAAAAGAGGAGAGCTTCGTCCATCTGCTATCAACTTTATCGTTTATCGTCATATCTCGGTGGGAGATGGCATAAAAACTAGGAGAAATAATAAGTAGAAATTTTTCATACTATCATCTTCGGGGGGAGAAAAAAACTTTTCGCCCTCAACGAGAGTTTCAACATCTTTTAAACAACTGATCGATATTTTTTTGCTCTTTGTGTGTTGTTGCGATATTTAATGATTGAGATCGAGTTTCACATTGCTTGTTATTTATTATATTGATTTTTTGCTCCACATATTGCCGCCAGAGGGCAGTAATTTAAACTTCAAATGCATGTTCAAATTCCGATTGTATTTCCTCCTGATTTTGTGGTTTTTTTTGCTATTTGAATTTAAATGTTTATTAAATATTCTGAAAGTATTTTAATTATAAATAAAATTATTTAAATACTTTCTCAAACCTATTGAATTTTTAATTTTTTTGCAATTTTACTTAGAAAATAATCATTTTTGACCTTTTTTTAAATTTCGGTAACTGAAAAGTAAAAACAATATTTTAATTTGTGATTGAGACCATTAAGATTCATCAGAATTCTTAGTCAATCTGATTAAAATTCCCAAAGGTAAATTTTGAGAGAGAATTCACTTGGGAAGCAAACAAAAAAATCTTTTGGAATAATTATATAATTATGAATTTATGCACGATGAATTCCGCATGATTCTCTATAGACACTGTGTAAATTATTGTGCGCCGTGGAAAAGTGAATAAATTACAAGGCTAATCCCTCAAATTCCCTCTCTGGAATATTACTTGAAGAAGGGATGCAGAGGTCAAGAAAAAAGAGAAGCACCGCACAGTATCCCTTTTTGCCTCGACTTACAACATTGTTTCCGTGTGCGTTCGCCGCCACCCTTCGGCCGTCCCACCCCTTCATAGGGGCAACATTATAAATATTAAATTTCTCTTGGGTGTAGCAGCGACACGGGGGGTGTCTTCAATAATTAATGGTGTTTTATGTGTCCGGGAGGGATGATATTTGAAGTTGGCATTTAATGCGGAATGTTCCTGTGCACAGCAGGATTTACTTCACTCCCCGTCTGGCCATTTCTTCGACAGCAACATGTGAGACTCTCTTTTTACACACATCTCTCTCTCTCTCGCCATGGCAAATTCTCTTGCATGCTTCAATTTTTCCCTCATTTTCCACTATTCTTTTCCCGGAACAATTTGAGGGAAAATTTTCCTAATTCCTCCACTGGTATTTTGCCTCCTGTAATTTGAGTCTTATGGCTTCAGTGGGCGAGAGTTTCCTAGGAATTTCCCGACTTTATTTTAATATCGTCCCAGCACGATATCCCTGCCCAGAAATCTCATGGAATTCTGCAGGCAGGACAGAAAAGAATTGTGTGTCGTCCTGGAAAATGACGTTGTCCTGAGCTTCACTGCCTGATTTTCTCCAAAAGTGGAACTTCCTGGGAGTTTGTTTTGTGGTAAAAATATCACTTTCGTGACTTTTTTTGAGGAATAACACGCGGAGTAGAATTTAATTGAGTTATGTCGCGTCAGAAATTGCAACTTTTCCATGGGGTTTTTTCGTGCTTCTCCCACTGCATTTTCTCTATGGATCCACACAATTAGCAGCATGAAAGAGTGGGGGTTTGGGAAAGAGTTGTGTTGTATTTGAAAATTTCCACTATGGTTTCCACAGTGTATTCGACGAAAGGGGTGGGAAAAATGGCGCCCACAATTGCATGCAACAGAGAGATGTAATAATTTCCTATATAAACCACCAGAATTGTGAGTGGGAAGGCAAAAATGATAGTACAAACCCTCCAGACTCATTAAATCCCCCACTGAATCCTCACACTGCCATACCATTTGGGGAATAAACAAAAGTTTAATGAAAAATAAGCAAGATTATTTTCATTAGGAATCCTTCTTTGCCAGACGGAAAAAGACAGTGAGAGAGAGAGATTGGAGAAAAAGTTGCTCAAAAGGACTGCAGTCAATTATTTAATTTAGTTCTTCTTCTTCTGGGGCTAATTCCCGTCACGGGAAACTAATTAATGGGAGAAAGAAATATAGAAAATATTACATTTCTTGGAGTGTGTCTCTATTTCCCGGCTGCCATGTCATTGATGGAATATTCCTCTGATGTTCGTGACTTAATTAAAAATTGCTTTTCACTTATTTTTGTTCTAAGAAACACTCCGTTGTAATTATTTTATGACTTTAAATAGTTTGTAGATTTAATTTAATGTAATCACGGACGTGCAGACAAAAGGTTCTTCCTAGGCTTTTATACTTTTTATTTATTCCACTCAAACATTCACCATCTTTTTGGGCAATTCTTCAAAGCGCGATTGATGTTTTGGAATTATGAATTCCGATTGCGTGGCAGACAAATTTTTTTTTTTTGAGAATAACTTTTCTTTCCACTCTAAGCGCAAGATGGTGAAGATGAAAGGGCCAAAAATCAATGAATTTCTAATTCTGATTGATCATGGTGAGACTGAAGGAATCGTTCTTGAAACATTTATTAGTTCCTCAGTACAATTTGTCACGTCACACTTTATAATCTAATAAAAATTGAGGTATACTTTGCAAAAACATGCAACATTCTCATCCAACTTTTCTGCCATAGCCTCGGGCCAGTGTCATTTATTATTTAAAACACTTGCACAGCCAGAGTGGCTCTTCAAGACATACGCGAAGACCTCGAGAAAGAGATGAATTCTGCAGAAACTTTTTCTCATGATTTCCCGCAGATTTTTTTCTCTCTCCACATTATATGAAGAATTATTTCCATTTATCACGGATTTTCACTCGAATTAATGATAAATGAAAACTCATGAGCTCTTTTCGCTACACTTTTGCAACTTTCACCCCCCAGATAAATTTCTCCAAACATTAATGTTTGGGATAAACAACGTCAAAAAGTTTGTCAACATTCTGTCCAAGGATCTCTCTGTGTCCTCTCACAGTGTATCCTGGGTGAAACATGAAAACATGATTTGAAAACTCTCTCTTTCGCCCCTCCTTGAGAAACTTTCCCCAAATGAGAAGGAAAAGGAGAAAAGCACCATCGCGACTCATGGAAATTTCTTCACAATTAGGTTTCCCTCCACTTGCACACACCATCAAAAAGCCACATTTGGAGGAAAATTAATATTTTTCAACTTAAGAAGAAGACCAAAAAAGTCTCATCATAAATTTGCATTTCATGGAAATGAAGAAAAATATCCAGAAAAGAACACAGAATGAAAAAAAATATTCATATTAATTGGGTCCAAAATAGACTTAAAAAAATAATCATGAAAATCCCGAGCAAACAACTCGGCTAGAAAATCAAGGGGAAGATATTTTGATCGGAAGTGATGTACAGCTTTTGTGGAAGTGTTAAGAATTGAAACTGGTAAAGATTTAGAATATTTTGCAACAAATTAAAAATTCAAGCTCTTAATCTAGTAGAAATATTGAGATATTCGCTGCATATACTCTGAATATAACCTATTTATATGCGAGAAAGGATTGAAATTATGACAAAAAGGATTTTTTAAACCCAATTTATAACCTCACAATTTGGCTAGAAATTTCTCTAAGCATTTTCCGAAGATGAAACTAGAAAATTAAGACAGAAATTGCTCAGAAACAAATCCTTGGACATTCAAATCATTTCTTGCAGTCTGAAATCTAAGCATTTGACGAGCTAAAAATCTAGATTAGATTATATTAATTTAGAAATAAGTGTGAGAAATAGTTGAAGGAGATAAAAAAGTGATGGAAAATGCCTTTTGCGAGGTTCAGAAGTGTCTGAAGTGTTGAAAATTCTGCACAGAGTGCAGATTCAAAGCATCTTATCTCCCCCTTGTAGAAAACTAAGGAAAACTGAATTTGTATAGAGACTTGTCTATTAATTTAGTGTGATATTTTCAACTTTTTCTCAACTCCACGCTAATTTCGAAAAAAAAGTTATACATTTTCCAAAGGCGGAATGGGAAGTGCACTCATAAATTCTGTTGATTTCCCACCAGAAGAGCGCGCGCTGTTTGGATAAAAAAAAAAGCTCGTGTAAAATGAAATCTTCAGGGATAATCATATGCAAAAGTTCATGTTAGCCCACAATTCTCCGATGTTGTGTTGGTTTATAAATTGAACTTAATTTCATTCTTAAAAAGTAATTCAGAAGAGGCAGAAATTGCTCTTTAATGCCACACCGCCGAGGAGTCTTTAAGGATCTTGTGTTGTGGAAACTTTTTCCCATTTTTTTGCATTTTTATAATTTGCCATGATAAATTTATACACACGCACACGCAGGAGAAAACATGGCACAAAAGTGTGGTGGTTGAGAGAAAGTTTTGGGGAATTGTGCGTCGCGTGGAAGGAGAAAAGTTATTTCGATTTGCATCTCCTTAGTCGAACCCTCGACAGTGCTTTCGCTAAGCTTCTCAGATTCCACCCATCAAGAATCTGGTTGGAATAGAGAGAGAGCGAGAGGGGTTGTTTTTGCCGAAGAAGATGCCTAAAAATAGCGTCTTTTTCTATGAGCTCGAGTAATAGAAAATTGAATTTTCCACTCTCTCTTTCGCTCATATAATTATATCCCATGTGAGGCTTCGCTGTGCGACGTATGGTTTCTGCCATTGCCAAAATAATTCTATATAGCATCGCAGGAATTAGCTGAACCGCACAGTTTAAGACGGAGTTAGTCGTCTCGCCGGGGAATTGACTGCGACTGTGGGTGGAAGAAAGTTTTCTTATCGACAAAAGACGCCCATTCTGCACATTTCCCGAGCTGCGGGCTGCACTTTTGGATGCAATTATCAACCTCACGCTGTGGCAGGAAGCTTCATGTGCTAACTTTCATTTGTGTGATTCGGTGCAGACGGCAAAAATCCTGCCAACTTCTTCAGGGATTCCCTCAAGGATTAGTGGCGTCTTCGCCTCTCCTTTTGACACTCAATTCATGTGTTTTTTTTCGATGAATTTTTGCTAGAGTTATTCTCCAATTATTCCACATTAGCAACCCCTTGTTGATTTATCAATATTCCCACGAGTTCGGCTTTTATATTCCACTCGTGAGCAAAGTTGGGGAAAATTGCATCAATAGTTGTCCGTCTTCGTCATGCTCTTAACACTCCATTACATGGCTGTAAAAATAATTGTCATTCCCTCAGCAGGAGCTTCTCATGTCGTTCACGTTTCACTTGCCAGCAAGACTTGGACAAGAGTTTCAGGGTTGAAAGACATTCGCGCATGGAAACTTTGCTCGTTTGACCCAATTTCGATGCACTGGGTGGATGGTTTAATGTTATTTAAAAAGAAACTTGTAGAAACTTGTAATGCAATTTAACAAAAATGGGGCACAAGAGAAAAAAAAACCAACAATGAGGAAACAGCAAATCTGGAATGATTTTGCAATAATACTAAGAGTTGCTTCTGTTCTAGTTGTTCTAGGCCTCGAGAATTATATGTTGAAGCACATGAAGTCTGAACTTGGGGTTTGGGAAAGTTCGCCTTTGGCATTTTTCCGCACTTTTGCTCTTGCATCTTGCGCGACGGATCTCATAATATTCTTATGAGTTTGTGTCTGGCAAATAGAATTTCATGCTGTGTCAATAGACGCGGTGCGATAAAGATGCGAGAGAGTGTCTTCCCTTTGGCGGAGTTGCAAATGAATTTTCATCTACTCACTGTCTAGCCATTTGGAGTCATATTTGAGCGTCCTCTTGAAGTTGTACTCCCGCTTGCCCGACGTCATATTGTAGAGATCCGTCCGGAAAATGACTGTGTCCGCCTTGGTGAATTCCGCATTTGTTCCCGAGTACTGGAAAAAGGAGGAGAACAAGCGTCGCAATTTGACAAAAAAAATCACACAACGTGTGAATTTATCAAACAATTCACGAGCAAATAAAATCTAAACAATTGACGAGATTGTGGAAAAATGCACCATTCAAAATTGTCAACAACTGTTCAAACGACAATTTTGAACAACACAAAAAATCCCTCTTCCACACACACAAACACACTTCTCTGAAAAGCGTTGCGGGAAAAAGACGAGATATATGCTGTGCCAGAGTGGAAAATGGCATTTCATTTAAATCATTTCACACGAAGCATTGAAATGTGTGGGGATTGTTTGAGAAAATTGAAAATTGAATTGGCGATTGAGTGAAGCGCTTACCAGAGCTGCAAGATTTCCGGGATTTCCATTTTCGATGTAAATCGCCGTGGAGTTGTCCAATGGATCATACGGACACTTCGCAATTGCCGTGCCGACACCCGGAACGTACTCAGAACGTGGCAGATGTGTCAAGTTGGACTGCAAAAAAGTTGAAACACGTTTAAGGGATGTTTTCTGCATGCGGAAATGTGCATTTTAAAGACTACACTGCAATTTCCCACTTCACACTGCTCATTGTGATCTCTTAATTAGCAAGAGCAGTACAAATTGTTTACCGCGGGATTCGTATCAAGGGGGAGATATTGCGGGTGAAATGTGTACAACACAATTTCTCTGATGATTCTACAGGTTAATTAGGTTTAATTTCCCACTTCTAAGCACAAACTGCGGAAATAACTAAGAAAATAGACATTCTTTTAGACTGAAATGACAATTTTGAGGTTATGATTGATTCTCAGACACTGTCAAAACTCTATCAGTGGTTAAAACATCCTTCTTACTTACTTTCTTCTCCTTTTTCAAACTTCATACACTTTTCCAACCACCTAAAGCAACATAACCTCAAATTTAGGAATCTTTTGCCTACAAAGACGCAATTTTTTACCTGTGTTTCTCCGAAAATTTACGGAGAAACAGTATTTTAAGTATTTCGCTCTTTTGGATGTGCTTTAGAACATAATCTATTAATTACCTTGAGATATAAAAAAAATCCTTGAATGAAACTTATTCCGGAATCTTCAACGGCTAGATTAATCGATAATAAGCTGAAATCTACTATTTCAGCGTAGAAAACTACCAAAAAACACTTAGAATTCACAATTTTGTATCCTGAAATAATATTTCAGAGGTTATGATCAGTCTTAGCACTATTCACACGGTTTAGTATAAAAAATTTGTTATCTTCAACAGATTTCATCAGTATTTCGCCAGAAAATGTAAATTAAACCAGTTTAGGCGCATAAATGTATGATTTTGGAGGTTATTTAGTGGCAAAGTTAGTCTTTAACTCATAACATAACCTAAAAAACTACAAAGAACAATTATTTTTCTCAAATTATTGCGTTAAATCCTTTTGGAAGTGATTTTTAAATGCAATATACTGAAAATATTCAAGCACTTCCACTTCTAAATACTTCTATTGACTTGTACACCACTTCTGACCATAATATCTCCCCCTTAGTTTATACTGAATAAACAGAAAGTCGTTATTTGACACGCATGTGATTTGTTATGCACATTGATGCGCTGCGATTAGAGTTTTTCTTGCAAGAAAGTCTTCATAACTTATGTATGCAGTGGAAGCTCGATGGCTTGTTTTTGGAGGGAAACCAATTTTGCGTGATGGTCTTCGTCATTCTCGCTGGTGAGACAAAGTTTTGCTCTTTGTCCGACAAAAAGGCCGTTATATAGAGTTTATTGCAAGAACACGCTGTCTCTCAAGGGTTTCTGGGATGGAAATGCTTCCGAAGCTAATGAAAACCAAACAGTATTAAAAGTAATTCCCAAGAAAGTTTTCCCCCGATGGGCAAATGGTGGGGAAATGGAGAGAAAAATAGTGAATAAATAATTAAAGTAGGAATTTTTGGTGATGCTTCTTTTTGTTTTCTCACTGACCAAAGAGTGTGGCAAAAACTAGGTTGGCATAAATGTATTCTACACCTTTTTTTCTTACTCACTTCCTTCGCGAAGTTGCAATTAAATTTATTTCTTTTCAACACACAAAAGTCTGCAATATCAGAAGTGGAAGTGTGTGTGAGCAAAAAAAGGGTCGTGAAGCCACCAGAGGAAGATGTTAATGACAAGTTTTTGGCGCGGAGTAGCATAAATAAATCTGTTGTTTGTCCATTTTCCAGTCGTTTTTCATCACCGCGCGCAAGTTTGCAATGGTGGATTTTCGAGTGTCTCCGGAAGATATGAGACAAACTTTTCCCTCGGATCTTGCACTCTCTGATGCTGTACAATATTTATCTAATTGTCAGTATGTTAAGCTGGCAGAGACAAGCAAATTATTTGTTTGCCCTTTTGCAGCAGCACACAAAATGGGAGACAAGAAGAGAGTCCATTTGAGCTGGCAAAAAAGCTGTGCTGCCGGAAAAAACTTCACCTCATTGAGAATTCCAAAAGGGGATTAAAAACTACAAAAGACTCCTTGTGTCTGATTGCAAATTGAAGAAGAAGGAAGTGAAGACGGAAGGGCTGAGAATTGAAGAACAATTCGCGCAGCTTCTTTATTTATAGATTCTAATTAAAATCAAAGCTCATCTGACGTCTCATTTTTCCTCTCATTCTCCAGATCTGTTATGTCTTTTTTTTGTGTGTGCAGCGCAATTTTTGCTGATGACAGAGAGAGCTTTCATCGCGAAAGCTGAAGCTCTCTTGACGGTGGCTTTTTTAGCATCCGAACCGCATACAAATCACGCTGGATATCTCCACTGTTGACAACAGACGTCAATAAATCACCCCGTGGGCATTGGTAAATATTTTCCACCCAGGAAATGCAATCATTTTGATGGATCAGGCGACCAAGGAAGGCCGCCCACGCGCTCAAAAAAGCCCGCCAATTGTCACTGGCATGCGTGGCATTTTAAATGACGGCCATTTGTGGGCAAAAAGTTAAATTTGCAGTAAATTTCAGCATGAAGAATGGCAACAGAACTACCAATTAATAGAGGAGGAAAACTTTCTTAGCTGTTGTGACATTTATTAACCGACACTCCCCTTTGCCAGTGCTTTGGAACACAGAACTCCTGGCAAAGTTTTCTAAAACCTCCTTTTTCTGCGGCTGCAAATAAATTATGCCAAAACAGCTGCAAGAGTGCATTGTCCCAGTTTTCCTTGCTTGAGAGCTTATGCAGAACGGATATCATAAGTTTTCGTGATTTTTATTAAAGTTTTGATTTTTTCTCCACATATTGCCGCTAGAGGGCAGCAATTTAAAGACATGTAGACGTTCCGAAGGTATTTTCCAAGCAAATTTTTAACACAATTTCAACAATGAGCTAATTTTGGGGCGTTTAAAAGCCTACAAATAATCTCATAACCACTATAAATCCCGTAAATTGAAATTTTATGAAATATATTCAATATATTAAAAAAAAAATCCATTATATTTGATTGTTGAATATCTTAAAGGGCAATAAATGTCATCAAAACAGCACAAAAGAGTTAAATTCACAAAATTCCTTTACATTTTAAGCAACTTCAAAATGTAAGGAAAATAATAAAATATTTAAATTTTGAAACAATATTCAGAATATAAATTAAAATATAATTCGATTTATCTAAAGAATTTGTCGAAAATAATTAATTTTTGATTTTTCTTGCAATATTGCTTGGAAAATTCTCTTTTTTTTTTATTATTATGACACAAATTTAGCTTTTTTCATAAGATTTCTTAGAAATCGACTTGTTATTGAAGATTGTATTAATTTTCTCCTTCAGAAAAAAGCCTTCAATTTTTCACAATTCATATATTTTCTGCTCATTCAACAGATAAAAATCGCGATGAATAAGAATTTCTACAAAAACTATTCACCGAATTCATGACAGAAACTTTGGAAGTCATTTTATTATGTATTTGTACTTCTCTTGCTGGGAATAACATTAAAATTCACCCCTATTGATTTTAATTGTACCAGTTTTAGCACAGATATTTACCATTTAAACTCCATTCATAATTGCAAAGGGCGGCGTTTAATTGATTATTTGTGTAAAATTCTCGAATTTCCTGCTAAGTCATTAAATTTTGAAAATGGATGGCCAATTGTGATTTCGCCTGCAGGTCAAAATGTATATTTATAGGTCTATACGTGGGCATAATTAAAACAATGTAAAAGTTTTATGATCTCCCCACGAATGGGTTCATTTTATCTGTGCTTCTTTTGGCATTAAAATCAAGCGGGGTTTTCCTCATTGTGAAAATATACTGTGTCTACTCACATAAATAACGTAGTCCTTGGGGTTATGAGCATTCGTTCCGCAAACATACAGTCGAGTTCCCTCTTCGATTGATTGGATGACTCTGATGTGATTTCGACAATCGAAGAGCTGCAAGAGAAGATAATTGTTTTTATTTAATTACATTCCATAAATGCTGCTTCTTGTTGATTTTTTGGCAACGCAATCGACGTTCTGGGGTGAGAGAATGAAAGCTCTGAGCAGCCAAAAATTCATCTTTTCTCTCCTTCGCAATTTATTGGCAAACTCGCATGGATGCACTTGGGCGGAAATGTTGCTCTGCAGCGCAAGTTGAAGATACACAAGACTTCCTATCTCGCCTCCACTGTCTCAGCGGGTGGGCGGCGCGGGGTGGCGGGGATGGGGAGGGTTATTGAAATAAATTTATTAGTGTCATTTATCAATGGAACATTGATATAAGCGAATAAATCAATTTTTTATTGCCAACCATTTATATTGTAGGCAACTGTTTTCTTCTGCCATAACAATAATGCAGCATTAAAGGGGTGGCATATACTTTTTTCTCTCTCTCTCTCTCCTCATCCCTCATCCCCAAGTGGAGAGAATTATCGTAAAATTGCTCCTTTCCACCCAAATTAGTGTAATCAATTTGATTTTGTCTTATTTACAGCATTACAATGCCTCTTTCCGTATCGCACAGCTCTTTTCCTATATCGACTTTTACGGCCACTTTTATGGATTGCTTGAGTGAAAAAGTCACGCTTGATTGACATGGCACGGGAAGCTTTTGATTTGTTTGAATAAGTTTTGCTGGTACGGAAATTTATGTAATATTTCTAATTTGGTTTTATTACATTTTCTTCTAAGCATGCAATGCTAACTTGAATGCTAATAATAAGTCAGATGGTTTTTCCTGCTTGAATATCAAACAATCACTAAAGATGTACTAAAAGTTCGCATACAACAAAATCCACAAAAGTATACAAAAGTGTGAAATTGAGGCCAATTTTCCTTTTGGCGCTTAAAATTCGACATTTCTCTCAATTTTCGGGACATTGACTATAAGACAAGAATTTATCAAAATTCTATGATCTTTTCAATGACGTTGAGATCATGACGATATCTGAATTCGGAGCCGAGATATTGCAAAATGCAGAGAAATGTGCATAAAAGGACAACATAAATGTTGTAAAACACTGCATATTTTGCCCTAAATCCATTAAATCCACATAAAATCTTGAGTTTGGAATGTCTAGAAGACATTTACATCATAAAGCGCCTTGATTTGGACTTTTCAACTTGCTTTTTGTACGTTTTTAGCTATCGTTTAACGCTTTTATACGATTTCTTCTGCACAACCGCGGCTCAAATCCTATTCACAGAGTTTTTATGAAGTGTAGAATAGGAGGCTAAGTTAATCGTTTAAGAACAATCATGCAGTCGTGAAAATTACAGCATTTTGCTCTTTAGAAAGTGTGAATTTTAGTCAATTTCTTACTAAAATGTCCCGAAAATCAGTAATTTATTTAGTGTGATTTTAGTACACAGAAATACTCCGAAAAACTAAAGTTTATCGATCATACTAAATACTTTTGTGCACCAAAATCACTAAAATATGCTTTAATGCAAGAGAATATGTATATATATGTGAGAAAAGTTTAAAGTTAAGTGTGTTGTTGTAACTCATCCTCTGTGGTTTGCCTCCGAAGCAACAAAACATTAATGCGATTTTTCTCTTGGAGCGAAAACTGGGGTGGAGAACAACGGATTCCATTCTCTGAAGACTCCACAGACGGCCAAAGTGGGTGGCGAAAAGGGTGGCTTCGGACGGAGGAAAAACCCATTTGAAGGAACTCTAAGTTTGAAAGGCGTATTGGATGGATTCAAATTCACAGGAGGAATGTTAGGGAAAGAAGTCCGGGAAAATCAATAGGAAAAGTTTTATGGTAAGTCCGGGAAGGATAGTGTGGTGCAGATGAGAAAATTCCAGGGGAAATTTCCTATTAAAACTCCACAAATAAGGCCAAATCCACATCAACCTGGATTCGCGCGATGTTTCCCATTTATCTCGCCAAGCGGTAGAATATGTCTTAATAAACATTCTGCTCGCCGGAGGGAAAAAGTGTGGATGGGAATTGCTAGCCGGCACCCTAAAATGCAATTTATGGCTTCCGCGAAGGTGAATTTCCACACATTTTTCCCGCACAATCTTGACTTTTCATCTCAATTGGACGTTCTTCTTCAGCTTAAAGTCACCCGCGAGAGCTTTAAGCTCCCTCGGGCGCCGCTGAAGGATGATAATTAGGCATTTTGCATTGCTAAATGGGGTGCCCCTGACCGCTGGCGAGCCCCAAACCAGCGAGGGTGGCTGTGGGGGTGAAATCTAATGCCGCATTTTGGGAAGGAGGGATACAGTGTGACATATTTGGCGTGCTGGGCGGCCCAACGCCCACTTTAAAGTGCAATATTATGCATTTGGTTGACCACACACAGAAGAGCGTCCAGGATATTTACGCTGGGCGACGCAGATTTGCTTAAATCAATATGCAGGAATAAATTGGTCATTTTCTCCATTGAATATGGTGATTGGAAGTGGGTTAATTCATCTCCCACTGCATTTTCCAGCTTTTCCCATTTGACCACTGTCATTCCTCTAAGCTCATTTGCCATTTTAAACATCCCGCCATGATAGCCATTCATTTGCACTGCGACTATAAATGCGTTTTTGAAATCCGCAGTCTTTACTAAACTTGCATTTCAACGAGGGAATTGAAAATTGTGAAAAGCCAATTTTTCATAATTAACGCCGTACAGTTTTTCCTAAGAAAATTGTCTTAAAATGCAGTATTTTGTCAAAAATAACCTCTTAAATGAACATTCTAACTTCTGATTTCCAGGATTTTCTTTAAATGTTTGTTCTCGAAAGACTTTGAATGAGAAAATATAACAGATTTTTATATTTTTTAAGAAATAATTTTGAAAAAAATTAAGGAAACTATTAAAAATTGAATGTATTTAAAATTAACTTCTCGACACAATTATTTTTTGTTTCTCTGTTAACTTTGCAATTTTTCCGTCAATATTCCAATAAATATCAATAAAATCTACTGAAACAGTCACAAAAATGTTTAAATTTCTCAACGGAATTAACGGTTAATGTTCATTTTGCTCTCTTTGACTTTTCATAGCTTTCTATTCACTCGTCGATTTGTGTTCTTCTGCGGATTAAATAAATCTGTGCCGAACAATTTAATATTTTCCATCACTTCAGTGATTGCTAAAAGACTCTTCATGACGTGAAGAGATCATAAATTACACATTCTACACTTAATATTTGGACAACATCACTTTGAGCTCCAGTGGAAAATCCTCAATGAGATGGAATTAAATATAATTGAGCATATTCAATGTGGTGCTAATGTGGCGTCGTTTAGTGTTGAGGAACACTGTTGAGAGGATATAATGAAAAGCTAATTTCCCATCCATTTCGCAATATAAAATGTTCCACAGAGAAAATAACCATTATGAAGTGTTAATGTGACTTTCGCATGCTGAAAAGGAATTTTTCGGCGTGCTATTGCCGTTGTTTACAAATGCAGAGAAGCCGAGGGGAGTCCTTGTTAAATAAAATGCAACCCTAATGGCGTCTCGACTGCATATAAGCACTAATGAGGGACCAATTTGATCGTGTGTTCGTCGGAAGAGGAGCTCGAAATTTCCACTGATGGCAAATGGCCCCGGCAGAGAGAGAAAAATGCTTGTTTTTGGGGTGAAACTAAAGCCCGAGAAAGTGGTGAATTTCACATTGTCCACAGTCAATATTGGTGGCATTTAAACACACGTGGAATTGTTGAAGAGAATTCAACCCCGCGTTTCTGTCCAGCGGTGTCCATGTCAGTCGGGGGTGGTTGGGAAGTTGTGGATATAAAAGTGGCTGCTGGAATCACAATTGTCACATGTTTCAGGACAACATTCACTGCGTGAACACAGTGAATAAACATTGCGGAGTTTGTGTGCTGTGACATAGTTTGTAAAGTGGAAAATTACATGAAAAACTCCTGTCGCTGCATTCGGCAAAATGCGTAAACGCGATTATTCCAGTAAATAGTGAAATTCAGCAGCTCATCCGCACCATGTTTATTGCGGAATTTAGGCAAAAGCTCATGCACACAAGCATAATATTTGCACTGGGAATTTTAATTGAAACCACGCACTGAAATACCTGGGAAATCACTCAAAGGATTTTCTTATTTAGACAGACTTCAAATTTTCATTAAGATAAAAGTCATTTCACTCTTAAGAAGTATAAGTTTTGGGGGTGAAAAATCCTTGACAAGTCGATTTTTATAGCAATTCTGGGCTTTCATAAGCAAAACTTTTGAAATACTCCGTGAAAATTCAATACAGTGATTTCGCCAGAAGTGTGAAGAAGTCACAAAATTGCTGCGAAGGCAAATGAGCAGAGAATGTTGGGATGGATAACAATGAGATATGTGAATTTCCTATTTAATGACAAAAGTATCGGAAAAGTTTCACCTTCAACGGCAATGGTGAGAAAAGGTAGAGAGAGAGAAGTTGAGAGGAAAGAACGGATAAAAATGTGGATAAGAGAAAAAACAAATTGCTCTTCGGATCATATAAAAGTTTTGCAATAGCAATAAGAAATGTCTGGATCAAGCGTATTAATGCATTGACTTCGGCATTCGCTGTGTCCTGAGTGTATGTGGATCTAATAAAAGCTCCCTCATTACGTCGAAGATGGTGATTAAAAGCTCCAGAATGGTGTCGACTCGCTGGGAAAGTGCACAGGAGGGGAAAAAAGAGTGGCATGGCTTTTTATGTTGTACAGCAGCCCTAATGTTGTCCATCGTGGAGTTTATGGGGAAGAATTGCTGCTTCGCTAATTAGGATCACATCTCTCTATTTATTTGCCCAGCCATTGGAAGAGGGTCACTTTTACTACATGTTGCCTATATTGGAAAAATTTTCTCATTGCTTCTCCAGCCATTAAATGTGCGCTATTTTCCCTGCATATCCAAATGGAAATATACACTTTTCCCACCTCAATTCACCACTGAATCTCTCAGGATTTTACGCTCCAAGGGGAAGATAATATGATCGGAAGAAAG